GTGTTGGGCTGCTGCCGTTGGGGTGTGCGGGCCTGCGTGGCCGTGTGGTGCTGCTGCTCTCCCCGCTGTGCGTGTGCCGCTACTTGATTTCTCTTTTGTTATATATATATATATATATACGTGTGTGTGTTTTGTTTTGTCATCCTGCCACCCTGCCCCTGTGCTGTGTCCATGTCGTGTTGCTCGTGCTGCTGTTTGTGCATGGTTCCTCTTCCCTCCCCCAACGTCTTCCTGCGCCGCTGCCCTCGCGCCGGCGTTGTTCGCTGCGCCCCTCACAGCCACTCGGATAAAAGCACACAGCGAAAAGGAAAGCGACGTGACAGAACGAAATGATGGACCCGGAGCTCAATAGTGTTGTGGACCAGCAGAAGCGCTCCGTGCAGGATGTCCTCGGTGCGCAGAAGGTGCACATCCGCGTGCAGCAGCGGAAGGGCAAGAAGTTCGTGACGTCCGTGCAGGGCCTCAACCCGGCGCTGAACTTTCGCCGCATCAACCGCGAGTTTCAGCGGCGCTGGGGTTGCAACGGCACCGTCATCACGACGCCCGACGCCGGCACCGTCATCCAGCTGCAGGGCAACTGGAGTGAGGACATTAAGAAGTTCCTGCTCCACGAGAACATGGCGACGGAGCAGAATTTAGAGATCCACTCGCTCAATTAAGTGGCCGCAGCTGCTGCAGAGAGGCGCGGCAGAGGCGCGCACAAACGTATATACGTACACCCACGCATGGAACTCAAGAAGAAAAAAAAAGGGGGGAATGGAGGGTGTGTAATTGGTGCGCGTACATGGTGGTGTGTGCCTGCTGCATTGCTGCCACTAACAACGGGGGCGCGGTGGGTCGCCTGCGGTGTGCTTTCGCTGCTATTAACTGACAGGGGGACAAGGCAACAAGAGGTGAGGACGAGAGAGAGAGAGAGAGAGAGAGAGAAAGAGAGCGCACGGTGAGGAATGAGCGAAGAGCTGGCCCACCATGCAGGGNGAGAGAGAGAGAGAGAGAGAAAGAGAGCGCACGGTGAGGAATGAGCGAAGAGCTGGCCCACCATGCAGGGGTGAGTAAGAGAGAGTGACGCAATGGTAGCATACACGTATCCCCTGTATGTGCCAGTGGTAGCAGCAGCAGCAGCAGCATCGACGGCTCCCCTCTTTCGCTCCCACCGACACGTTAAGGCAAGAATGAAAAATGAATATGAAATGAAAATGAAATGCATGGCGCCGCACAGCCGCAGATATATTTTTATTTTATATATCAATCTATAATTTATCTCGCTCTCTCCCGGTCTGTGTGTGTGTGTGTCCGTCGGTGGTGATGGCTGTCATCTCATGTCCCCCACACACTCTGCCTGGTCTTCTCTTCTCTTCTTTCCTTTTTGTCTCTCTTGCTGCGTCTCTGTGACTGTGTGTGTGCGCGTCATCGGCATCGTCGTCGCTGCTGCTGCTGCTGTCGCCATCCACACAACACGCAGCTCAACATCATCTTCACTCGTGCGGCACCCTCCTGCTAGTTTCGGTTCTGGGTGTGGACGGTTGCCGTACACAAACACACAGAGAGACACACTTCAGCACAACACGGCGCCCTTGTAACTCCCGCACACGGTCTGTGTTTGGTAGAGAGCGACCACGATAAGGGACAGAGAGTGTTTGTGAGCTCATACGCGCCAGGGCGATAGAGAAAATCAAGAGAAAGAAAGAGAGTGTGTGGGTGTAAGCGAAGGCTGGTACGCGAGAAGGGCGGACAAGGCCTTTGTACTGTGGGCAGCGCAGCGACAAGAGAGAAAGGGGAAAGAAAAGGAGGAAGCGTGCGTGCGTACGGTCCGCAGCGGCAAACCCC